TGCGTCTGTTACTTTAATGATATTAAACGTCCCTGTGGTTACTGAATAAACATCATATATATTTAAAAATGTTTAACTCTGTCATTTTTTTGCACTCTGCAGTTTGATGTTGGTAGGGACACCGTATCTACTGTCCATACCAGATCTACACCCAAAGTGTTTACTGAACTGTCCCTGTCAATATATTTTACCCATCTCAGATGATCTTAGAGTTACAGACTGAATGTGGAGGATACTCGACTGTGATCTGACAACCCTCATTAACACAATAAATATATTTATTCAGTAAAATAAATTTGACCAGCTGATCTGTTTTGTTAATGTCAGGCCATCATATATTCTGAAAATCCTCCTGTGCAGCAGCGGCACACACACACACACACACACACACACACACACACACCATCATAATCTGATTGTTTACTTACACTTCATTTACTTTGGCTCTGACTAAACATTGGAAATGTCTCGCTCTAAGTTATTTGTACTTTATTAACAAATATATTTTACAATTTCAAGACAACAAAAAACTGTCAATAAAGCTAAAAAAATAAATGAGTACGAAGTGATCAACTGGTGTACTGGATCCTTTGGTACCTTTTTCATTTATTCATGTATTTATAAGGTGTAGACAGGTGAGCCCCAGGCTCTCAGGTGAGCTCTGATGATGTGAAGTTCAGGAGCTGAGTGAAGAATAATACAAGAAGAATATTTGATATCAATTTGAGCATCACTGCCACGACATTCTCAAATCAACAGAGAGACAGTGTCTCAGGTGAGATGCTAGAAACTGGCTGGTAGGATTAATGTTGGTGCTTACAAAACAGTGACACCTCCTCACCACTGGGGCTTGCACTTCCCTTCCAGTTACTTCCTTCCTTTTTTAATCCCTGTCAAAAGCCTTGAAACATCTACCAAATTGATATTATACAATCGCAATGTTCTTATCTACTATGAATGTGATCGTGGTCTGACCACACCAGATGGCTCGAAAACAATGCACCAGAGTGACTTTAAGTTTACCTGACATCAGCGATGCAGAGCCAATCAGCTCCAAAAGCAAACACAGAAGATAAAGACTAAGATCAAGCGGACGGAGAAAATTAATGTTCTATAGAGAGAGTACAGATGCGGCGCATAGGAGAGAGAAGCAAAGCACGAATGACGTTGAAGTCATGGACTGAGGTCAAAGACGACGAGTTTAGATTTAATTTACAGTGATGGACAGGAAAACATGAAGGAGACGACTTTAAAGTTTTTGTTTTTTTAAATGTGTGATTTTTATTTTTCTGCCCCTGCAGAAGGTTCTTATATCAAATGATAAAATCACTTATATTTCGTGGTTTTCTTCCTAATTAGATTAAGACTTAATATGAGAGCATTTAAAGATTGAAACTTGAGACAATCAAGAACAAGTGTGAACCCAAAAAAAAAACTCGGACCGAACAGCCCGACTTAAAGCACAGTTCACAGATTTTTAGGTTTGTTTGCCCCGTCTTTGTTTTTTTATCTTGTACATTTTCCACTCGATAATTAAAGGTCTTAACTGTTAAACCTCCAAGCTTTTGTTGAAAAAAAGTTAAGTTTTGTCAACGTTGCTAGGCAATAGGGCCGTGCTTTGACGCCAATGGTAAACTTGGCACAGCTGATGAGCAAAGCGCAAAATCCCTACTTCACCTTTGCCCAGTTGGTCTCATTTGGGGTTCGGCCTTTGTTGTCTCTAATGCATGCCGACAGGCACACAAAACCATTGGACACACCATCGTCCACGTACGTATCTCAATTTGGTCCCTTTTGCCGCACGGGATTCTCGTTTTCCCGCCTGGTTTCCTGCTTAGCGCGGCGGCTGATCACTTCACCATAGATAGAAATTAAGGAAACACAATGAAGTGAAATCAATATTTTCCAAGTTTATTACGTTTCTGTTGATGAAACTCAGTTTTATTAAAACGGTATGCCCCTTATCCCTTAGGTAGCTTTCTAATTTTCTTCCTTTTGTTCAAGGTCAACTCTCTTTCACTCTGGATTTCACTGACATTTTCAAGTCTGTGTGTTTATTCGTCCTGAAGCCCAACAGACTTTACTCTCACAGCCACCACACACACACAGGAAGTGTCTAGCTCAGGGGTTGATTATATAATAGGACTGTGTGTTATTGTAGTGGGATGAGGAGATTATTGACGTTGGTTATCCGTCAGCTCCCTGGAAACACTGCTTTATTACACTGTTCATTAATGCTGCAGCACGCCATACGCATACCACAACTCATACACACACCACACACCCAGGGAATATCATTAACTAATACATCTGAGCTCCTTCTGTCTCAGGTTACTGTGTCCCACAATGATATCATATTCATATTAAATGGCTAAATGGGAAACTCTCAATCAACTCTGAGCCATTCACTCTGCGATGTGTCCTTTAATTGATTTCAGGTTGAATGTGCTGAAGCTCCGCTATGGTCCAATTTCCAAAGATGTTCAAGTCCATTAACTTTTGATTGAATATTTGATTGATTGTGATCTGATTAAATCCATGATATGAAAATAATCTGTTGTCCTTTATTGATCCAGAGAGAATCTCCTTCGTTCATTTTATATTTCACCCGATATTAAAAGTCAATAATCCACTGTGGTTCCAATTCTATGGTTTTAATATTGTCCATAAACAGCCACAGTTTGTAAATTGACGCTCATCTTTTCCCTCACGACTCAAGACATCTTCAATCTGATCAACCAATCATATTGATGTTGATCAGATCTGGGTCTGGTGAGTTCACGGTAGTTGTTACAGTGTATACATCTGAGAAATCAGTGAAGAAACTCAACTCACACACACAAATTACTCAGTTTATGTAACAGGTAGATAATGGATTTTTTTTTAAATTTTGATCAGTTCTTAGTTCTGAGCTGCTCAGACTTATAAAGTGAAAACATTCACAGGGACGGACCAATCAAACTGTAACCTCTGAAAGTTCGTCTGTCGTTTTACTTGTCCTGACAGACAGGAGGACCCTGAATGTTCTCGTCTGAACTCCTTGCCCTTCCGTTCTTTTTCTCTATTTCAGTCTCCCAGAAAGACAAGTCTTCACCTGCACCACCCCGTCCTCTCCCGTGCGTCAATTCACACAACTACAAAATCTGTTCACTCCACCACTGCAGCTTCTTGTCTTATATGTCACACTTGTCTCCCAATTGACAAAATGACTCAGCGCAGACAGCCAAACAATCCATACACACCGGACCTGGTTGCGTGGACTGACATTTTGACCTGAAATTACAAACATGATTTTTCGTATTTTCAGGGATAATTGATAATGAATTATTCAGTCTAGCTGAGGGATATACACACTGAAAACACCCACCCTGTTTCTGTCGTTTTCTGTTATCAATCACTTCACCTCTGTTATTTCACCTTCTAACAAGTGGTCCTCATCAGCTGACACAGACACCTAATGTCACCAAACTACCCTTTGTTTCCCCACAGCACTTATTCCAGTTTTGATCATTGAAACTTTGTTAAACCTGGTTTTCTGCTTTATTTACTTTTTGAAGCTTCCTGTGCCTGTCTGACTTCCAGTGTGTAATATATAAATATAACTTTTGTAGCTGCAGTTTGTCTTCCCCAGACTCTTGTTGTGCTCTGTACTAATGATATTAAAGGTCCCTGTGGTTACTGAATAAACATCATATATATTTAAAAATGTTTAACTCTGTCATTTTTTTGCACTCTGCAGTTTGATGTTGGTAGGGACACGTATCTACTGTCCATACCCAGATCTACACCCAAAGTGTTACTGAACTGTCCCTGTCAATATATTTACCCATCTCAGATGATCTTAGAGTTACAGACTGACATGTGGAGGATACTCGACTGTGATCTGACAACCCTCATTAACACATAAATATTATTTATTCAGTAAATAAATTTGACCAGCTGATCTGTTTGTTAATGTCAGGCATCATTTTATTCTGAAAATCCTGTGAGCAGCAGCCTGGGCAACACACACACACACACACACACACAGACATGGCTGGTTTGAACACGGCTCACAGCAGATAGTTCTTCATCACCGACAGGCTTTTAAACATTTATGTTCTTGTCACATTTTCTTTAAAAGTCTATC